TTTAGCGTATGATGAGAACATGATGGAAGAGAAGTAAACATATATACACAGTCTACGTAATTAGAATAGAATGGAATAGAATAGAGTAGAATAGAATATAAGAGAATAGAATAAACAGACTGTAGAATAGAATAGAATAGAATAGAATAGAATAAACAGATTGTAGAATAGAATAGAATATTGTAGAATAGAATAGAATAGAATAGAATAGAATAGAATGGAATGGAATAGAATGGAATAGAATAAATAGAATAAACAGATTGTAGAATAGAATAGAATAAACAGATTGTAGAACAGAACAGAACAGAACAGAACAGAAGCAGGAAGGGACCTTGGAGGTCTTCTAGTCCAACAGGGATGCTGCAATGGTTTTAAGTGCAAGGAACAGTCGTCTCTTTTTCAGGACTTTTGTAACTTCGAACGGTCACTAAATAAACGGTCATAAGTTGAGGACTGTATAATCATTATTGGGATGATATTTTAGCCATGTAATTTACCACTCGCTGGGATGTTTGTCTGTTTGCTTTTAACTTCCCCATCTAGTCCAGAATCCTAGGATTCTCTGGTTGATTCCCATCCACGTCAGACTCCGATCTGACTCTATTCAGTCTCTGTTCAGTTCTTTATCAGATGCTGCCAATGGTAACGCTTTTGGCAAGAATTGTTGGTATTTGGCACTAATCTCTTATTCCACCACTTGGAATACAAGCTGGTGACTTGTTTCTCTACCGAAGTGTGAAACCTGTCAGAATTGCAGCTCCTGATTTCAATTATGGAACTCCAAATGGCACATTGCCGTGAAAAAAACCCATCTCTCCATTTGAATTTTAGCCAGCTTTTTTCCCCCTCTTTTGCTCAGGGACATTGTCAACATTGTCAATATTGCATTTCAATCAAAGACCTTAGTCAGACTTTAAAAGAGAATGACCTTTGGGTCATGTTCAAATGACTTCATTAAGGGTTGCAAGCCTGGGCTGTAGTTCTTGAGATGGCCACTCAGTGGCAGCAAAGAGATATAAACATCTAACTCTCTGCTCCCCTCTGGTGGTCAAGACGGTACAACTAGTCCAGGGATAGGCAACCTTGTCTCTTTTATGACTCGTGGACTACAACTCCCAGAATTCCTGAGCCAGCACGGCTCAGCATGGAAACCTCTCCCTTTCCCCTCAGCATGGCTGGCCCAGGAATTCTGGGAGTTGAAGTCCACGAGTCATAAAAGAGACAAGGTTGCCTACCCCTGAACTAGTCCATGACATCTGACCATTAAGGAGCCTGCCCATTATGGTTGTATGTCATGATGGTCATAGAAGTCTATGACAATTTTATGGTGGTTGTTAAGTGAACATGGTGGTCATTAAATGAAGCAATGGTTCGTTAAGGACTCAGTTTTGACAAAAACTGAAAGTAAGTGCCGGTTTGGGGTAAAATCATTGTAAAATGCAGTCACATGATTGCAGAATGCGGCAAACAGCTGAAAATGTAGTCAAGTTGCTGAATGCCCAAAATTTGATCATGTAACCACAGAGGGGTTCCAAATCTGAGTCATGTCCCCTTTTGGGGGGCTGTTATAACTTTGCTGGCTAAGCAGCCAGTTGTAAGTTGAGGACCTACCTGTAGCCCTGTATAATAGAGGTTTAGTGTTTAGATCAGTGTTTGATTTCTGCATGCAAACTGGTTTCAAGAGAAACAGAAAAGTTATCAGAATAACAAAATAACAGAGTTGGAAGGACCCTGGAGATCTTCTAGTCCAATCTCTTGCTCAAGTAGGAAACCCTATACCATTTCAGAAAAACGGTCGTCCAATCTCTTCTTTAAAAACTTCCAGTGTTAGAGCACCCACAACTTTTGGAGGTAAGACGTTCCACTGATGGATTGTTCTAGCTGTCAGGAAATTTCTCCTTAGTTTTAGGTTGTTTCTCTCCTTGATTAGAAAAGAATAAAGTTGGAAGGGAACTTGGAGGTCTTCTAGTCCAGCCCCCTGCTCAAGCAGGAGAACCTATACTGTCTCAGACAGGTGAATGTCCAGTCTCTTCTTAAAAATCTCCAGTGATGGAATGCCCACGATTTCTGGAGGCAAGCTGTTCCACTGATTGATTGTTCTCACTGTCAGGAAGTTTCTCCTTAATTCCAGGTTGCTTCTCTCTTTGATCAGTTTCCTGCCTTCAGGTGCTTTGGAGAATGGCTTGACTCCCTCTTCTTTGTGGCAACTCCTGAGATATTGGAAGATTGCTATCATGTCACCCTTAGTCCTTTTCATTAAACTAGACATGCCCAATTCCTGGAACTGTTCTTTGTACATTTTATCCTCCAGTCCCCTCTTTCTTTTCTCTGCACTCTTTCTAGAGTCTCAACATCCTTTCTATATTGTGGCAACCAAAACTGGATGCAGTATATTCCAAGTGCGGCCTTACCAAGATTGTAAAGTGGTATTAACACTTCATGTGATCTTGATTCTATCCCTCTGTTAATGCAGCCTAGAACTGTGTTGGCCTTTTTGGCAGCTGCAGCACACGGCTGGCTCATATTTAAGTGATTGTCCACTAGGACTCCAAGATCCCTCTCACAGTTACTACTGTTGAGCCAGTAGTTAAAGTCCGTCCAGATCCTTCTGTATCTTAAGCCTATCTTAGGGTTACCTGCCTGAGCAGGGGGTTGGACTTGATGACCTCCAAGGTCCCTTCCAACATTATTATTATTATTATTATTATTATTATTATTATTATTATTATTACTACTACTACTACTACTACTACTACTACTAGTACTACTACTCATATCTTCTGGAGTGTTGGCTTTCCAGCCAGCTTGATGTCGTCTGCAAATTACATGAGTTTCCCATCTATCTATACAGAACTGTCTGTATCAGTACAGACAATTCAACACAAAATTAAAAAGTTTTTATATTATATAAAAAAGAGTCTCCTTGCAGCGAGATAAATGGCAAATCAATGTAATAAATAAATAAATGAATTTAAAAAGATATAATTCCAACATTTATTATGATTTTCCGTAATAGGAAAAAGCAATAATTAATTCTCTGTGAAACAAACTAAAATTTCATAACAATTGCTGAAATGCTGGATCAGGATGGAGATATGATGAAATGACGTTATTCAATCTAACCTTGGTGTTGCATTTGTTATTATGTCTTTCACATTTTGTCTCTTCAGAAGACAGAACTGGATGATTCAGAAGGGGCTTTTTTCTGCTTATTTAGGGTCGCTGATACTGTATTATTAGGCACAATCTTATATTTTATTCACTCACCTATCCAAGTAGCCAGGTCTCAGTAAATGAGTAATCAATTAGCAGTGTCTTTATGTTTATTTGTAATATTCTATGCAATCATTGCTCTCAACACTTTGTAACCAGGGGAAACTGTGTCATTGGTTGTACCTTAAATGAATTTGCTGATAAAGAAAGAGTGAGAGATCAAAGGAGAGCAAGGATTCTGTGTCCTTGGATACATTATTTCAACAATATTATGCAGGCATGACTGAAAATTACATTACTGACTTTTCTTTTAGGCTATCTTAACATAATTTTATTAATAAATTAATACGTGGCTGGATTCCATTTTTTAAATGAATTTGCATCTCTTTGAATTTTATGATGTATTTATTTGCTTAGAATGTGTGTGTAATAATGTATATGTATATTAATCCATGTAATGCTGAAATGGTGAATATGTATATAAAATCTTAACCATTTGACCATTGCTTGGATTTTAAAAAAGGTATGACTATTATTATTACTATTATTATTATTATTATTATTATTATTATTATTATTATTATTATTATTATTATTATTATTTAGCATATCTACATGGCATCTACAGAGGTCATGCAATCACTGATATACAAATATAATTATATATATATATATATATATATATATATATATATATATATATATATACTTATATTTGATATGTATGTATATCAAACTTATATTTGCATAATAGTGATTGCATGACCTTTGTAGATGTCATTTAGATATGCTAAATAATAATAATAACAACAACAATAATAATATACTTTCCAGACTATCATCTTTGTTGCTCTTTCAACATCTTTTTTGTATTGTGGTGACCTGGTTGCATCCAAGGATGACCTCTTAAGCAGGAAGTGCACCACTGGGCATTGTGGATTGCCACAATCAGACATCAAGAACTACTTGGATCCAACCACTGACCATTAATCCGTGGAACAACTGGCTCCAGAAGCTGTGAATGCTCCAACACTGGAAGTTTTTAAGAAGAGACTGGACAGCCATTTGTCTGAAATGGTATATGATTTCCTGACTGAGCAGGGGGTTGGACTGGATAACTAGATGACCTCCAAGGTCCCTTCCAACTTTATAATTATTATTACTATTACTAACCCAACCAGTTCGAAAACCTCCCAGGTAGTTTGGGAGTATTGGAAGTTTCTTTTCTGGAAGAAACAATGCATCATTTCCAAGCCACAGGGGCCAGACCTCAAGCTGTACGGATAAATTGAATATCAGATACAGGAAGGTGGCCTCCAATCAGAGGGGTACATACGTAGAACTCGAACCCCGTGCTTCAAGGTCTGAACGCGCCCAGGTTCCATGGACATGCTAAGCATGGTTTGCTGTCCTCCAATGGTGCACACTTGGTTTTCTTGGGCTGCTTGCTTAAACATGATGATAAGTTGGTTGGCTATGATGGTGTTGAGGATGGAGATAATGGCCATTGGGAAAACGAAGGAGATGAAGACGTTGACCTGGATCAGACAGGAAGAGAGAGAAAAGAAATAGAGAAATCTTGTTAGCATCTAAAGGGGAGAGAAGAGATTAGAGATTTAGGCACTGGTGGGATCCATTCTTTCCAGTAAAAATGCTATCATAGGCGGTCCTCAACTTACAATCATTTGTTTAGTGACTGTTCAAGTATTCAATGACTGTAGGAGATGACCATGCTGACCTCAAGGGAAGGAAGTGGCCTTTAGTTCCTGAGAATGGAAGAGACCTCTATCAATGTTTTTGTTGTGCGACTTCTGCGGCAGTGCAGAGGCCGATTGCAGGCGCGAGCGGGACAGCCGCACAGGGCAGAGGTGCTGCCCGGGGCCGGAGCAGAGCTGGGCGGGACTGCGGTGGTGGCTCCGCTCCGGCCCCGGACAGGGCCTCTGCCCTGCGCGGCTGTCCCATCACACCTGTGATCGGCCTCCGCGCTGCTGCTGCCACTGGTGCCCACAATCTGCCTGGCCTCCCCTCCAGGCTTGGGCAGCACCTCTGCCCTGTGTGGTTGTCCCATCATGCCTGTGATCGGCCTCCGTGCCACCGCTGCCGGCGCCCGCAATCTGCCCGACCTCCCCTCCACCTGCTTTGCACAGCTCCTCCTGGCCCCCCCGCACTCACAATCTGCCCAGCCTCCCCTCCAGGCCTGGGCAGCACCTCTGCCCTGCGCGGCTGTCCCATCACACCTGCGATTGGCCTGTGTGCCACCGCTGCCGGTGCCCGCAATCTGCCCGGCCTCCCCTCCGCCTGCTTTGCAGAGCTCCTCCTGGGCCCCGCGCGCCCGCCATTAACCCTCCCGCCATCATGCAGGGTAGGGTTGCCGCCCCCGCCCTGGTGCCTTCACCTCACCCAAGCGTTTTTTTTACTACCTGCCTTTCAGCTGCATTCCGTTTCTCCATTTGCTTCTCAGCCTTCGCCACGTGTTTGTGGGACTATCGGTTAAAAAAAAAGTTCCATCAGACTTTCTAACTTCTCGTGAGATCTCGCGAGAAGTTAGAAAGTCCCGTGGAACTTTTTTTTTTTGTCCCACAAACACGTGGCGAAGGCTGAGAAGTGAATGGAGAAATGGAATGCAGCTGAAAGGCAGGTTAGTAAAAAAAACGCTTGGGGGAGGCGAGGGCATCTGGGCGGGGGCGGCAATCTTACCTTGCGTGGCTTCGGCAGGTGTCTGGCAGGAGGAGGGAAGCAACAAGCCCCGCCCCACCCCTCACATGGAGTGCCCTGCTCCTGTCGCTCCCTCCATCCCCACACGGCACCTTTTTCCCAGCTCCGACGCGTTACTTCCTCCGACGCTGTGTGGGACTGAAAATAAAGTTCAATCAAGCAATTC